GCGATCCGAATGATCCGCGGATACCGCACGATCTCTGGGGAGTCGGCGAACCTCCTTGCCGGATTACCGCCGTGGGATCTGGAGGCGAAGGTACTCGCGCGCTCGCATGCGCGCGGAGGCACGTCGCCGGGGCGAAACTCCGCTGCCGCGCCAGATAAGTGCGTGGCGGGATGAGCTCCGGCGCGATCTCATGGCGGAATGGCAGCAACGACTGTTGCAACCGAGGGCTCGCTGCCATCGCAGCGGTAAGTCCCCTCTTTGAGGAGTGGCTTGAGAGACGCTACGGCGTCCTCACCTACCGCCTGACGCAGGTCCTCACCGGACATGGAAGTTTCGGGAGGTACCTGTGTCTGATGGGGCGGGAGGAAACGCCCGGGTGTCATCACTGCGAGGACCGCCCTGAGGACACGGTGGAACACACTGTAGCGGAATGCCCTGCGTGGGCTGAGCACCGCCGTGTCCTCAGGGAAGTGATCGGCGATGGCGACCTCTCGCGTCCGGGCCTAGTGCAGGCCATGATGCGGAGCGAGGGGGATTGGGATGCCGTCTCCTCCTTTTGCGAAGCAGTCATGCTAGCTAAGGAGGAGGCGGGACGCGTGAGGCAGCGAAGCGCTGCCTCCTCGCAACCCAGCCATCGCGAAGGACACACCAGGCGTCGGGGATCGCGGGACGATCTCCGGCCACCGTAAGCGCGGGCCTGCGGACGGCGAGCATGGGTGGCTCCCCGTCCGACCAGAAACAGACCCGAGCGTACGGCGCGTCGCGTTCCGCGCGCGCCTCAAAGAGCCATCAGACCACCACAGATGGGGCCCAATAGGGCCGATGCCGATTCGGAGTCGCAGAGAACCTAACGGGTAACCGGGGCTCCGGCTCGACGTGCAGGAGAAGGAACGGGGTGGTTTTTAGTCAGTAAGAGTCTGACACTCCCTCCCGCCTCACCCAGGCGGGAGCAGTCATTCGATGATTTTCCCCCCTTAAGTCTTGTGTATTTACGAACATACATTGACATACACATCACATCCTGATCGAGAACAGAAATCTGCAGATCACACATAAAATTGCTCGATGCGGTAATCGAACCCCTAACACATTGCCCAACTACTGCACAAAAGGCATAAAATAGTTTGAGTGTATCAATTTTACGTATAATTCTTAAGGTTTTTTTGAAATAAAATTACAAAATATCAAGTATTATTTGAAATGGACTTGCGTATCTTATGTTTTCCATCCATCAATATGATGTACCTAACAACCACTTTTCCCTGCGTGGGCTGAGCACCGCGACGCGTTCCGCGTGCGCCTCAAAGAGCCATCAGACCACCACAGATGGGGCCCAATAGGACTGCTGCCGATACGGAGCCACGGAGAACTTAACGGGTTACCGGGGCTCCGGCTCGAAGTGCAGGAGTAGGAACGGGGTGGTTTTTAGTCAGTATGATTCCGACACTCCCTCCCGCCTCACCCAGGCGGGAGAAGTCAGTCGATAAATTTTTCCCCCCTTAAAAAAAACATGATATTACAAATAAACCAACCCAGCCCCCAGTAATCGACCTCGATACCCCTTTCTCATAAGTGGCAATACTTGACCATCGAGGCTGTCTTAGGTGGTTAGATAACCAGATAAACTTCAGAGAGCCGCTATTCAATGCAAGTTGTTTCTAATTAGCAGACCTAGATGTTCAGTGCACAAAATAAACTTATTATAAAATTAGCTCCTGTCAGCGGCTTCGCTCGCGTTCCCAGGGGTATAAGGTAGCATATGTGTTACTTCAGATTATAATCTACCTGTTCCATATTTCACCCCGGTCCCTTCAGCCGTTTTGATGAGACTGAGAAACGAACATACACACAAACTCACCTCATAATTGTACTTTTAAAATATCGGTTCAAGCTAATCTCAATCATCGGCCCTACGTTTACAGCGTAAAGTCCACTGCAGGCAACCTAACATTAGACAAACTCATGGTACAGTAACTGTCGCTAGGGATTGAGCCGCACTAAAAGTTTGTTTTTGGTGTATATACTCACACTATTTATTTTATTAATGTGTTCAATGTGTAGAAATTACACATCTACAATTTTATTATATGTGTAGAAAAAAATATCGAATCTTATGTTAACTCTAATCTGAGTGTTACTATTTACTTCACATAAAGCCATTTTTGCCATGGGGACATTTTGTCCCCTAGTCTATCCTAAGGTTAAATCAACATAAAATGTTTCCTAATTGTCAACAGGTGAAAGGTGTAATGCTTCCAGTTCCTGAAAAGAAACAAAATGTTAAGATTTATTATGTATGTATGTACAGTTTCTAATCGCTCTTGAAGAATTTATGGGATTTAGAAAAAAAACTGTAAAATTTTATTATTTTACTACCTTATTCCATTAATTGTTTATTAATATTCTTTACATTTGACCAACTCAAATTTACAAGCTCATATTGCATGTTGTTTTTTGATACATGCACATGTATTTTGTTTGTGTATTATTTAAATTGGATTAATAAGTTATAGTTTGTTTTAACTACAGTTAGTTTATTCTTACTAATTCTACTTGCCTCTAGCGCTATGATACGCTTTGTGATAGTTTCATTTTAATTTGTTTTCCAGGCCTATCCGGAAATTTAGAAATGTCGGAGCTATCTGATACACATACATTATCCATTTTCATGTAGTAAGTAAAATTTTTACTGATGACACTAAATAAATCAACCATTTCATTTCCAAAGTAGGTATATTGTTTGCAAATAGTGGAAGCTTTCTATTACGATAATTGGATAAGAGCACCACATTATAAATACACATACATAACACCTATACATTTTAAACTTAAAATTGTTACATCACAAGTATTAATCACATGTCATGAGATCATGGATAGTCGTTTACGAATAAACCATGAGAATTATCAAAATGAGACTCTTCTGATGAATTTCTTAGATAATAAAAGCTGTTTCTACATAACTATTCTCATCCTCCGTCGTACTAATCGACTATCTGACTTTATACAACCGTTAAGCAATATTTCAATAACTACCGAAAAACAGCTATTAATGCTGCACAATGAAGTACACTTTGATTTACAAAAGAATTTATATTTTATAGCGTATTTCTTACAAAAAATACATATGATAGTTATTTAACAAAACATTTACAAAGCGAGTTTGACTCGCCCTTGACCCGTATTGGGACAATCGAAACGCTAAAAACAAAGCCAACATTCTCGTTTTTCATCCACGGGTTGATAACAATGGTAATAACCCGAAATCGTATCGACGGATAACCACATCTAATTACATAATTATTATATGTATGTAATACTTAAAATTTGAGAGCAAAGCTTATGTTGGAAGATTTGTTCCTAATTCTGTTTATATGTATTTCTCTAAGGATTGGTCAAAGGCAGTTGTACCACCGCCGATACGTGGGAGGTGAGCAGAGACAAACACAAAAACGATTGGCAAGTAACACCTGCGTGATAATTTGTAACACTCCCGAGTGACGGCTTACAAGATTTTATTTTAAACATAAATAGAAAGTTTTTAAATAAATTCTAAATAAATTAATTGAGTTGTTTTATTTTGTAACAACTTTCATTTTATTACCTTTGTATCGTTAAGACATCTCTAGTAACTAAATCCCATATAAAGTGGACTGGAACAACTGCCATTTCCAATGCCTGAGCCGCAATATGTCTCATCCAAGTGCTAGACAAAGTCGCGGAGAACCTAACGGGTTACCGGGGCTCCGACTCGACGTGCAGGAGAAGGAACGGGGTGTTTTTAGTCAGTTAGTCTGACACTCCCTCTCGCCTCACCCAGGCGGGAGCCGTCATTCGATGATTATCCCCTCTTAACCCTTTAACCGCCAAGATTCTGAACTTTCAACTTACCTCCAGCGCCACGTCACTTTAGGTATAAATTGGAACAGTGTTGGGAACACTTAATATCGATATATATATTCTTTATTAATTAAAAAATTAAAATCAATGTTTTATTTACCTACTTAATAAATAATCTAAAAATTTTCAATCTTCAAACGAAGTATACGAAAATGTGTATTCGGGAAATGGGCACGGCGTCGTCCGTTCTCCTGCTGGCGACGGTGACGATGCTCCACGAGCATGTCGTATTAAATTTAATATTTTCATGTAAACTTCTGAGCGGATTTCCGACAGTACGGTTTCCAGCTCAAAAGGTTTTAAAGATGCAAAGTATTCATTTCGTGGATCACTTGGTCTCTGATCAAAAACTTTTGCGTCACCATCTTCTAACTTTGCATAATCGACACATTTGGTTTTGACTGTGTTGATTTATTTGAGAAATAACAAAAACCCAAAAAGGGTTTACAACACTAGTTGCATTGAGTGATAAATGTTTAACGTGATTTTACGGTGACGGCGCTAAGGCAACTCACAATACAGCGCTATAATCTCCTTGGCCGCACGTAATATTACGATGATGGCGACCGACGACTGTCCGCACTAGTGCGGTTCTGCGTTATGAAATTTTTATATTATTGTTATAAATATTAAATAATTTTAAACTTAAATACATTTTAATTAGTACAAATACTTGCATCAAAGTAACACTATGGTTATTTTCTAATGAAAGTATACACTTTCATTGCAAATAGTGACAGTAATATCTATAGTGCCTTGTTTGTTCTTAGACAACCTATTAAGTATTGTTCGAATTCGCCCCATCCCTAGTACACGTAAAATTACGTGATTGGCGATACAGATAATGGAGACGGTGACCACAATTTAATTAAATCTCAAATTTCACAGTATTTATCACTCAAAACATTGAGAAATATCCATAACAACAAAGATTATACCCTACATCTTGAAATTGACACATTTTATATGGAGTTTGTGCAATATAAAAAGATTTTTAATAAAATAACGTGATTGTACGTATGTGGCGATTCGGACACAGCTTTCGAAAACCGTAATATTACGTTGTCGGCGGTTAAAGGGTTAAAAAAAGTGCTGGACAAAGGCCTCCTCCTTAGTCCTGCACGTCGAACGACCAGCCGTCAAAGTATTATTTGTTATTTTACAAAATTTAATTTACTCTATTATAGGGCCTAGTTGACATAGCTTTTTAACAAAATATCTTATAGAAAATATAGACAAACCAGTTTGAATTTTCAAACTTCTACATCACAAAAGACAATTCAGTTATAAAATTCTTAACGATTGTTCTGAAGTTTTTCTGCATTGATTCATGTTATATCGTTATCCATTTTTTTCTGTAGCTGATTTAAATGTGTTTATGCTTTCTCTACATTATATTACCTTTCAATACTGTTTTACACCATGTAAGATACATACAAAGTGAATATGAGATAATACAAAATAGTAAATAGGGTATATTATAATTTCGAGTAGGTGAACTAGGTATGAATACTAAACTGTAGACTCTCCTTAGTGTACAACCTAGGTCTACAAAATGTCTGTATTCTAAATGTTAAGACCAATAATGTTTATACTTGAAATATGCAAAAAGGATCAAAATCATGCTTTAATAAATGGTTAATCTATCACCAAGCTATGTAAATATTAGAAGTCTGTAGAGAGCTGGCAGATTATACTACTTATATGCGACCAACATGTCAGGCCTTTGATTATGTTTATATTTCAGCTGATGATGTACAGCTTGGCAAAAAAAAGTTTGATGCAGCTGCTGATGACAGTTGCAACTAATATTGATTTGGACTTAATCGCCCACTTTGGACCACATCCCATGAATAAAATATCATCCGAACATAGTATCTCCAAATTTTTTACAAATAAACCGTTTGAGTCGTAGCGTACGTACCTGGTTGCTACAGGTAAAATGATTTTAAACTCCTTTTTGCCAAGATGTACTGGCCTAAAAAGCTCAAATTTACTTGTACATTACAAATGAAACCTTATTTAGACAGTTTTGGTAACAATAAGGTTTTAAATGAATTGGTGTTGAAAATATTAACTATAGCAAATTGTAAACATGTTAGATTAAAAAGTATTTTTTTTTTATCGTATAAACTGGACTATCCAGACGTGTTTATTACATCAAGATTTATATTGTACTATGTACAAGCGAGAACAGAATCAATTAGTTTTTGATAACAGATTGTTATTTATATTAATAACAAAATATTGTTGAAGCATCATTGCCAAAATTCTAATATCAGTCGCACTAAAGCGGAGCTGCGGCGGTTTTTAATCGCGTTGTAAAATAAGAAACCAAATACAAGCAACTTGTGATGTTGTCTCGCGACAGAATTTTATTACAATGGCATGTTAAAAACGGCCGCGGTTCCACCGAGTGTGGACTGAGCATTGCTCAGTCCACACTCGGTGGACACAATAAGACATTGCTCAGTGAGCAATGTCTTATTTATTTTGCATCAGAAATAAATTCGAAATAAAAATTGAGTTCTACAATTACGTCAGTTATACATTGCATAATAGTAAAATTATAATTGTTTTCATTTTAATATAATTAATAAGGTAGTTAAACATCTATCTACATAAAATGTACATACATACAATTTACTTATGAGATTAATAATAGGTAGTCGGTGAGATATATAATGTAAGCTGCAAAAATTCATACAGTCTCAAAGAAAGTAATTAATACCATAATATTAAGTCACATTAAGGCAACCAGATTACGTTTGTTCCAATTTATGCATTGCTTCGTACAGACATAAAAAGAGACAGGTTTTGTAATCTGAATATTTGAATTATCTTATTCATTATTATTAACATTAAACCAATCGTTCTATACCAGTACAGATGGCTTTAACAATGCAAGATAATATTAGTAAAAACTCAATGGAAATAGGAAGATATTTCCAATACATGAAAAAATCATTGCTAGCAATTTGAGGTCGGCAAAAATAATGAGTGTGCCATCCTTTTCCCGACCGCAGATCACCCATAATTTAAGTTGCCATATTTTTGGGAGCTTTTTCTTCCCTTTCAATGGCCTTCATTAACTACTATTTATTCCGTTTTCAAATATTATATGCACTGGCATATACAGTCATCTGACACAAACAAAATAACAAACAGAATTAAATAAACAACCACAGGAATTTTCTAACTAAAAATGCTTTCATAAGACTAAGGAGTTAATTCAGACCTTTAATTTCTTGGCGGGTCTAAGAGCGTAGTTTAGAGTCACTTGTCGTTTGATGGTCGACCTTCGTGGATTTCTCCTGCCATTCCACTCTGCTTCCATCTTGCGTGCAAATTCATAATCATTCTTTTCTTGTTCAATCAATTTTTCAATTCTAAGCTGTTCTTCCAATATTTTCTTAACATCACAATTTTTTAGTGGACTAGACAAATTTTTTACAGCTAAATTAACCTTATTGTTATTTATTGATTCGGAAATTAATGGACTGTGTAATTCTTTTTTGGTACTTGACTTTTTGGAATCACTGCGTAAGTATGGCTTCCTCTCAGACGATACTTTCCTCTGTTTTATTTTGCCCTTCTTAGGTGTCGTTTCATTTTCATCTTTTGAAATGCTTCCCATGGACCGCGTGCGTCTAAGATTGCTTTCATTATTTAATTTATTAATACCGTCAATATGTATTGTTTGTTTATTTCTAATAGGATTTTTCTTGATTGGTAAAGGTGCGACACAAGGACTAATAGATGCAGTTTTCTTAACTTTTGATCTTGTAGTTTCGCATTTCCCAGGTTGTTCCTGTAAATATAAATAAAGGAAATAACGTCTAGTACATTTGTAGCTAGATTGTTCATGAAAATTATACTTAGCCAGTGGAGCATGGAATTTGCTACAGTTAAAGTTTACATGGAGGAGTTAGTTTATTTGTTTACATTTTTATATACAAATAAAAAAATTATTACATCATCAATAATATGCAAAAACTTATTAACCCCTCGAGCGTTCTTATGAGCACCCGGTGGATCATAAGAAAAAATGCTCCATGCTGCTTTCTCTTTTATAAAATCTATTATTAATGTTTTGTTTTTATTTTGACTGTATTTGTTTTATTTCTATTGTAATGATTCTTGTTTTCGTGTGCCAATGGCCAAATAAATGCATTTTCTTACATGCATAAGGATAAGGAAATGCATAAGGAACGCGGACGCTCGACGGGTTAATGATAAAATATTACACTATGTATGTACACTAATTGTTTGACAAAAAGAAAAACAAAATAACTGGGAAAATCACAAAATAGCTACTAAAATTAGTAGAAGCCTGGCCACTGGTTCATAGTAGTAGAGCACATATACTACTAACCTTATTAACTTTGAGAATATTTAGGGCAATAACAAATGCAGATGGTAAGTTTTTAGCTAAAGACATGTTTCTGAGGCGACAAAGTCCCTCTAAGTATTGCACTCGAGTTGGTACTGCTTCATTACTAGATGATACTGACTCCTTTTCTATACGAAGTCCTGGCACTCTAAGAGGCAGGCTCTTGCCTGTATTGAAACTGAAACAGAAATATTATTGTGAGTTTATCATTTGACACCCAATGATTTTTTTTTTGCTATACATATATAAACTTTAAGTCGGTTGACTGTTAAAGTTTACTGTTATAGGTATAAGAGTTTGACTGTAGTATAAGTAGTTTGACTGTAGTATAAGTAGTTTGACTGTTATAGTTATAAGAACCAGGAGAGTGGGTCACATACTAATGAAAGCTAAAGTATATTTATTTGTGTATGTACAAACTGTACAGTGAACATCTTCCCAACTTTGTATATAGTGGAATCACTTAACCCGTTGATATCCATCCCCTAAATTTGGTCATACAAAAGTATTCTCTAAACATTAGAAATAAGGTATATAATGTAATGTAATATTAGTGGAAAGCGGTCACCGGTGACCGCTTGGGGATTTATGGGTTAAGTAAAACTTCAATAATGATTATTTACCTTGTGGGAGTTGTTGATTCAATTGGTTTGAAATAGCACAACTCTTGTCGCATGGAGTCAACGCTTCCAGTCTCAACATTTCTATTTTCAGCTAAATTAATTTTATGTTGGAGTATTCCTGTATATGGCAGTGGCAAAGAGACAAGCAAAGAAGGCACAGAACCTTTTACTTTAACCTTGTCTTCTGTGTTAGTGTTACCTGGTTCTTTATCACCAGCTTTTGGATCGTCTTTCTGCAAAATATCAAGTAAAATATAGTATCATACATTTTACTCCCCTAAGGTCAGGGCAACTGTAGGGCGATATTCGTATATCAAGCTCCCCTCAAGATATAGAATTACTAAAAATTTGTAAAGGAATGATACTCTATAACTCAATATAAAATAAAGTTTTATCACAAGATATTGACTAGCCGGAACTGATAGATAAATATACTTATTCTCAATAATATAATAGTGCCTAATAATTTACTATCAATTTACTATCACCATGTTAAGGAGATTAAAATTAAAACTCAATGCTCCTTCTACTCGTCTAAATTGTCATATTTCAGAAAAAAATATTAGACTTACCTTTTCTTTGACATTTTCCCCATTTTCTTTATTCCATAAACCTGGGCCAAGTTTACTTTTCTTGTCTACAAAGTTCTTAATTAATTTTCCATAACTGGGAACCATTTCTGGTGAGGCTCCATTCATGGGCTTGACAATAGGAGTTTTGGGGGTTGACCCATTAGAACTTGCATTATCATTGGATTCATTATTTATTTGAAGGTTACTGAAACAAACATCTTTCTTCATTCCCTTTAGTTTATAAAAACAGGTTAAACATTGAGGGTGGGCTAAAGGCACAGGATCATCAAAGGTAGTACAAATTTATGACAACAGAAATAGATATAATATAATTTAGATTCACACTTACTCTTTAGTGGTGGGTACTTGTAGTTTAGATAAATAATTATCTATCTTGGTAGATTTCAGTCTAGGTTTAGCAGCAGTGGCCCTATAATTGAGTCTCCTAGGTGTGTTTCGTGGCGGTACAGGATCAGTATGATCTTGTTGCATTTGTTGAGCTAAAATTTCATCTTTTTTTAAATTCTCTAGATACTTTTTATGAGCTTCTTCTTCTTCGGTTTGAATTTTCCTAAAACAATATTCACAATAAAGTTTGTTTTCAGCAATTACTCATATTTGTAACATAAGTCGAATCTAGTCTTACATACTTGATTAGTAATTCAGTTTCCTGTATGTGTTTTTGCTCTAATCTTACTCGTTCAGCTCTTAAGCGTTTCAATTCAGCCTCATATTCTGACCTTATTTCGCCAGGCTCACTTAACCTAGGTAAGGGGATCTCTGAAAAAATTAATGTTTTAATTAGATGAATAATGTAATAGTAAAATCAGAGTTAGGAAATAAATGATGCGATATTATACAATTTGAGGAGTTTAGCTTTAAGTGAAAATAAAGGGTTGGTGTATAAACTTACAGAAGATTTCACTGGTTTTGTTATATGCTAGGGCTAGGATATAGCAATAATATACTTGGACCAAATTATGAAGTACTTTCTGACAGAATACATGGATGATGTAGTATTTATAACCACCATACAGAACTATTGCAAAAACAATGTTAACTTCGTAAACAATAAACAAATTATCGATTTATGTACATTGCTAAATTTCGTGTAATGCAGACGTTTACCTTCTGGCAAACGGATGTCTTCTCCTTTAGTTTTGATTTCAATTTCATGGGAAAATTTCGATTGAATAAAATTCCAAAGTTCAACATTCACCAAATTCTTTTGTTTTGTTGCTGTTCTTAGCCAGGATCCAATTCGCAATCGACACAGAGGACAACACAAAGCATTATTTTCTATGCTACCATTGAAACAACGTTGACAAAAATCATGAAAACACGGCAAGGTTACGGGTTCTATTAAAATAGATTGACAAATCGAACAAAATACATCTTTTAATTCTAATTTTTCTAATTTTAACAACTTATTTTCAATTTTAGACAGCCGCTTCTTTGACTTGGCCGCCATTTTTCACTATGGTTCTTTCCGTCTTTTTTCTTAAAAAATTCTCACGTTCCATACACCCGTTGTGGTTTCTTTAACATGCTCTCTTATAATGTTTTACTTTTCTTGTTTTCTTTATTAGGCCGAGTCTGCACTGCTTGGAATTCTCCTTTGAGATACTGACAAACTAAAATATAAATAATGATGTGATTTCTACTCAATATAATATATTTATTATCTACAGAATTACATTCATAAAAAATATATTCATCAATAATATTTAATGATTTTGAGAATTTAGCATCCCTAGCATAACTGATTGCAGGGGTACCAACATTTTGGATGGAGAAGCCATGTTGATATTTTCTTTCTTTTTTCGTCATGTACCGACTCACATGTATTTGAGAACGAGAAACGAACACGAAAGAAACCACGAGAAGTATGGTGGTTGGAAGAGGATTTTAGATGGTGTTCTTTTGTTCTTGCAGTATTGTGGTGGATTTTTAACAAATGTTTGAGTGTGCTATTTGAAATCTTTGTTAAAACTCAGGATTAGACCTTGGGAAAATGTCTTCAATGCATTTTGTGGTTCATCCTTTGCCTGGCACTGAGGATCAATTGATAGACAGGTAAACATATTTTATCATTTTACTTGACTCCATTTCGTTGATGTTGTTAGATCCGACATTCCATGATCGTATGATTTAAATCAAGTCACCGTATGATGATATAGCATCAAGGGCCACGTTTCCCGTATCATTTTACGTTCACGGGAGAATTTCCATTGTATGACATTTCTTTGTCGATTTTGGATGAAGCTGATAGTAATCCATACCGTGTAATGTTGGATCGAATGGCGTAATCTTGTTTGGTTTAAAACGACGATGCTATATTTGCAAACCTGCTTTTCGCATTTACAATGCCGATACCGTAGTAGTTAATTCTCAACTGTGACATAATAAAATCGCTCAATACCTATTTCATTTCATGTGTATGCTTGCCTCGTTACCCTCCCAATAACAATAATTTCTGCAAATCGTATTGTTGAAAATGATTTTACGTGATCCACAAATATGTCGAATTTTGCATTGAACTGAATGTAATTTGCCATCAGCAGTACATAATAATATTATGTCATGTCATGAAGAAATATGTTTTGGAACTTATTCTAACCTGATTTTTAGTATTTAATGAGAAACTGTTATCTTTATATTTAAGACAGTAATTTTGATATTACTGTGAATACCTGAGTATGCATAGGCATACTCATAACAGGCTATGTTATCATCACTATTAGTGGTTGTAATTGTAATTAATTAAATGGCCTATTCTTACATTGCCATAATTTGTTGTTATTCTTTACAAATCACTAATTTATCTATGCTATTAGTCACTATTAACAATGAACATCAAAATTACAATTTGTGGTGAAATTAATTGTTTGCAAACAAAAATACGCACTGAATTCTCATGAAATATAATAGACTAGCTCTTGGCTGTGACTTCGTCTACATGAAATATTAACTTCTCTCAGAATCCTGTTTTTTTAACCGTCTGCAGCTGACGTGTAGTCCCACAGACACCGCGAAATACAAATCACGTGTTATACCGTCATTTTTCAAATCGAGCATCACTGCTGCGAGTACCTTACTGTATAGTGCTCGCTATACTTTAATTCTACAAAAATATTTGCTGTTGAAATGGTGTCTGGTATAATATACACCTCAGTTGAATTGTAACAATTTAACCACATCAGTTGCAGAGGGTTAATTCATCTTCCCCAATGTATGTTCTACGGCTGTAACAAATATCAACAGAATTGATTCATTACCTGAGTTTATATTTATTGTGAAATGATTTTTTATTTATAAAAATTATTTTACCTCTATTTGCAAAGATTCACCCCAATGTTGGTTAAATTATGAAAAACCCCTAGTAAATTCATAACTTCCAATTAGGATTACAAAAGTACAAATCTTACTCAGTGGGCTAGCACCTTTTCATCCATAGGCATAGACTGGGCAATTGGCTAGGTAGACTTGATGATTTTGGTGGAGAATAGATAGCAAGCATTAGTATTGTGATCATCATTTACAAAACATTTTTTAGTTAACCCTTTACACCCGATAGATTTTTATTTGGAAATCGTCTATGTAATGGTTTTTATACCATTCTGTAGAGCCGTAGGGGCTTCGAAAAAATACTGAAAAAAATCTCAGGTTTATAGTTAACCCAGGAGTTAACCCTCACGATCGTGAGTTTCAGGTACAACTTGACTACTCACGATCGTGAGGGTAATTTAAATAGAATGTTTATCTTGATAGTTGGATGGAAAATTAAACTGATATATAAATGTTTGGGAGCTTATTACTTTAATCACCCATTCTAGAATCAGTCCACATTATTAAACTTACTATGGAATCCTTAATTCTTAAAAAAACAGCTTTGGTAACAAAAGTCATAAAAACCAAAGGACTTCTACAGCTTAAACTAATTAATATTATTTAATCACAAAAAGGAACTATCAAAATTATGGTTCTTGATGATATAACTTAAAACAGTCTTTCCCACAGGAAAGCACAAGTATGTATCACATTTTTCGCATCGTATCTTCGTGCGGCTGCGACAAGTTTCATGTCGACTCATTCTTGGAGCTTTTATTTCACCAAATACCGGAAAATGCTCATAACCGTCATATCTTTTTGCTTCAGGAGGTTTATTTGCTGACCTGTAGTATCTTCGAACTGAAAAATTATTTTCCACTGGCGGATCATTCTCAATATCACTGGACATTCGGCGTTCTTTGGATGGAATACTTGATAATCCGTCGGCTATGTTAGACGAAAATCCAATAAGGGAAAATGTTTTTCCTGCTTAGCTATCCTAGCATCAGTGTTGAATTTAATTGCAGCACCATCAGGGATCCGGTTCATCATTATCGTTCCAGTGCCATGAAGATTCCTCTTGTGCTCTTCGATCAATGCGACAGTAGTAAAAAACCTATCATGGCAGATACAGCTTCCAGGTGGGACAATTTTACTCAAATGGAGAACCACAGAAGGCCTCATCCCGATTGGAGAGTCTCCAAACTCGGGTTCTTCTTCGGATTCCATGCCAGATAATATTTCCTCGAAATTGAGATCTTTCAGGACATTACGTTGAAAATTATCATCATCTTCACCAAAATCTTCAATTTTGGAAAGGTTTCCATCACCCAAGACTTGTGAAATTTGACCGTCATTCATCTCTTGTCCTAAAAACAAGAAAATATGCACATTTTTAAATTTAATCCAAGCACAATTAATAAATAAAGGTTTCTAAGTTTTAAATTATTTCTTGCACGTACAACCGAAGCCACACAATCGTAGCAGTCAAATTTTATGACGAAATTGTATCCAAATTACAATGAAATTATTTAAAGTAAAAGAACTTTATTAATAAGTGTTTATTTGACTTCAAATTTACTTAAAAACCTAATACATTACTAAACAAATAATACGCATAACTAGTACTTACCGGTGACGCTGCGAGAGTCAAAACACGTCGCCATCTCCCACCAAGGCTCGTAAGACACTGGGTGCTCGCACGGGCCTCGCGATTTTGTTGGCGCAAGCGAGATACCCTCACGATAGATCGATGCCGGTTGCGTTCGCAAAAAGCAAACGGTTTGGCGCCAGAATTTTTTAAAAGTTAAACGCACGCTCGTTTCATCCCGGGTGTAAAGGGTTAATAGGCATCATACATAAACATAATATTTGTGAAGTTTCTGGATTAATTCTGAGCAACATTGTTTATCTAAATAAAGTACCCAAATATTAACCTCTGGTCTGTCGGAGCGTAGATCTACACAAGACACCATGTGTTTTCTATTGTCTTAAATAATCAACATTCAAGAGGTTACCCAAATTATGGATGTTTTGATTTTGATGTCTTCAAGTAGGGGTTTTACTTTATTTGTTAGGTACACACTTGGTTTTTGAAAAGCTCTGATCATCTCTAATCAGTTATTCAATCTGTCTGTCGATTCAGTTGCTATGAGCTTGTATTTTCATAATTAAATAGCCCCATTGACACCCATAGTTGTTTATCAATCTCTTGGTATTTTGTGGATGCTGTTTGGAATTTGAATTGAAGTTTCACTAGAAACTTTACAAACAAAATAAAACGATTTACTATTATAATAATTAAAATATACAGAATTATTGGTGGCCACTAACCATCTTGCTAATAATTTCATATACACTTTTAATAAAAAAAAATAAAAAACATGCTGAAGTCTTTTTAAAAAAATTGTTCACTATATTAGCTTGTGAAGTGGTAATTTAATATTAATCATACTAAAGTGGTAATCATACTAAAGTGGAAAAGGGACAGATTTAAAATTAATTGATTTTATGATATTATTGTGTCAGTGTCTAATCAAGGTTCGATTCAAATCATCAATCTGTGGTGTTAATGTCAATAATTTGCAATTTTAATAGTGATAATTTTAACAGTTAACTATAAAGCAAAATCATATTTTGAAATTACAATTTGAATATATTTAATAATTTCGTTAGTTTATTTTATGTTTTCTACAAAATAAACCCAGTGTAAAATGAATGACATTATTAAGAGACACTGTCACTTAATGTCATAAACCTATGACAGAACAAAGTGACCTGTCTTGTTGGTAGAGTTGTGTGTGTGTTCATGTGTTTCACCTCGATTTTACATGAGAAAGGTAGCTTTCCCACATGAAATGGAATATAAGTCATTTGATCTGAACACCATGACAACAGAAACTTTAGAAATTAGACGACAGTCATTTTATGAACTTTACAGTGTTTTTTTTTATTAAAATGATATAAATTTCACACTACTGACAAAAAGGCTTGGTTGGAAAAAATGGCTTGAAATATGTTTTAAAACTGTAATTAGCTAATATTTAAAAATAACCATACAAATAATTAAAATTAAAACATTATTTATCGAATTCTATGAATAATAATATAAGATTGTTTTGACTACAGGCTAAAGGAAGTTGCTGACCGTTGGAATAGATATGGGACAGG